GGGGGGGGGAGGGACACCACCACACTCAATCCATACTTGCCTAATTTAACATTAGAGTTCACGTGCATCCCCAAAAAGCTCTAAATTCAACCTCCATTCACTCCAAATCCCAGGCATGTTATAAAAACTGTTCACAGGCCCACTTCCTCTACTAATGACAACTAATGACAACAGGGAAAAAACAAAGTACTTCTCCTTTTTTCATCAAGGACCATTTTAAAGAACTATGGTTTCATCCATTCATGTTTTTCTTTTCTCGGTAATGAAATCTTATCCTGTTGGCTTTGGTAGAATTTACCATTCCCATTGGGCTAAATGCCTCATCAGTCTGCCTTTAGCATCCTCCTCTTCCTTTACAAGCAACAGCTCCTCTGGTCCCCAGTGTAGATGCCACTACTGGTACATAACTAATAGATGCCATTTAAAAACTTGCCACTCGCTATAACAAACAAAGAAAAAGAATTCCCCAGGCTCGGATAAAAACTTTTAGAAAGTAAGCGAGCAGAGATGCTGTTGATGAAAAATTCTTCGACACTTGTTTGAGAGAAGAACGCCAAACCTTGAAAAATTTCCACATCAATTTTGTGGAACCAGTCGAGTCAGAAACGTCCCAACATTTAGATGTTTCTTTGAACTGACCTTGATTTTAGAAACTGAACATTTTCACTTGCTACTACGTATCTAAGGGGCAAAAACATGCAGTTATGAAGCAAATTAATGTAGTACTCCCAGCAAGCAATATCCTGCAGCTCTTTTTGAAGAAATGTGCGTCTATTATAGCTTTGTAACTTGACTCTTATAAATCAGCAGTTACAAGACATATGTGCAATGACTCCAGATTACTTTTATCAAAACCAAACCTTATGCTCTGGCTTTTGATGGGAGATTCTTAACTTGTTTTGCAGCCACCCCTTCCCCAGCCTCCCCTTCCCCTCTGCGAGGCAGGGGAGCATTATGGGGTCTGGTTTGCCGAGAGAACAACCCTAAGCGATTTCCCAGAACCATACAAGAAGGCTGTATCAGAGCTAGAAATTCAAGTCGGGTCCTTGCTTTTCAGTCCTGTGCTTTAGGTGAGCAGAGTGCCTATTAAACGTTTTATTTATACACAGGGGATGAATCCAACTATTTGGATTTTATGAGGTTTTCATATGGGTTTTTATGGATTTGAGTTTTCCGTTGAAAATGCATGATAATTTCTTGGCAATAAACTTCCTGTTTAACTTCATAAATATGTTATCATTAGCTAACTGAAAGCCTGTTAAAACAGTACGCTCTTCTGAAGCGGTTTAATCCTTAGCTCATCAGTGCTTAGTTCTAATGGTTGTTAGGATACTGGATCTACAGCATCTTAAACACTCTCCTAAGCACATTCAAGGCATAAACATTAACAGTCTGTGAATATAATAGTTGCTTTCCTAGCTCACGAATGAAGTTATGGCCTGTCATAACACTGCTTGGGGGCCTCCATGCTGTTCACACAAGCATTCAGGTCTCCAAGCCAGTGGAGAAACCTACCCACGTTATTTTTCATCTGGCTCTAGCTCATATTACACGTTAGTCCATTCGCTCTCCCAAACGCACCTCCAGCAAAAGAGCACTCTGTTTAAGATGATTATACGTTAAAGAATAGTCTTTGACACATGTTTCTGAAGATAACAGAGCTCTGTGGGCCAGGATTACTGAATACATGGAGAAAACCTATTTCTTTTCTCCTTTCAGTCCTGATCAAGAGCCTTTGGTTTGAACGTCCTAGGCTTCGGCAGTGAGGTGGCTTGCAAAGGGTAAACAACAGCTTAACGCCCCTGGCAAGCGCCAAGTGAGCTCCAAGTTTGAGCCCTCCTGGGCTTGAAGGAGGGTGGCTGATTATCAACAGCAGAGCTGGGCTTGTGAGTCCCGTTAAGTGACAGTTATCTACTGAAACTGCACCTCTCCGCAATGGCTTGAATTGCTTTTACATAGAGGCTGCAGTCCTGTTAACTTGCCACAGGGACAAGATCTTGTTTCTTCAGAGGAAACCTGCAGAGCAGAGAGCGTGCTGGAGATCGGGAAAGCCACCGGCGGTGGCGGGTACCAGTGATCCTCCGCCAGCATGACCCCTTTGCGAACCTAGGCAAGGGCTGTCCCAAACACCAACTGCTCCCCTGTGTACGCAGGGGCAAGGAAGAGAAACGTGGAGGTAGAAAACTTACTAGGATTTATTTTCAACCTGCAGTAGTACTGTTTTGCTGGCAGGCCAATTCTGGATCGAAACAGAGTTCGGAATATCAAGGAACATCAGGTTCAAGGAGATCCCACCCCAGCATTTAACCTCTCCTTCCCCGGGTGCTGAAGCAGCTCCATTTCTCGAGGTGACCAGTTCACAGAAGTTCGCAAATGTGGAATGGTGCTTCCACTATATATTTAATGCATGAAAAAATTCCTTTTAGCCCCTCTGAGTATTGAGCTCAGACCTCCAGTGTCACTGATCTCCTCCACCAGTATCTCTATCAGCTTCAGAAGGACTACTGACGAAGTTAAAGAGAATGCGGCTTGACCAAAATGAGGAAAGCTATGAAAGTGATCTACATTTTTCATGTTTTAGCAACCACATATACAGACTTAAACAAGGAAAGGACTACTCTGCCTTACAAAGGCAATTCAACACTTGTATAAGCAGCCGGTTGGAGCGGTTAAGTGCCAAAAACCCCACAGCACGATTGGCAGCAGACAGACAACCAGCTGCCAGAGACGTGCAGGACTAATGGGGGTGGACGCAGAAATGTCCCTCCTAAGCAAAGGGGTGCTCTTGCTCCGGCCCACGGCGCCTGGCTGGTGCAGAGAGCTGCGCTACCTGCGGACGAGTCTTACGACAGTTGCCGAAAGAAAATCAAGGCTCTGCCAGCAGACACCACGTAGTGAGACCCCAAATAAGCAAGTTAAACACATGCTTAACTTTCACCATGTGAGCAGCTCCAGTAAAGCACACGTGGGTAGTCAATGGGATTATTCATGTGCTTAAAGCCAAGAACAGGATAAAGTGCTTCGCTGAATCCGTTCCTTAGTTTCCACTCCAAACTGGCATCTCCTGCGGAAACTGTTGGCAAATGCCGACCTATAACAGTAGCCAATGTATTTTTTAAGAAAAGACATTAGCTTTCCAGTGCTGTGAACCCAGAATATTTCTTTTAAGTGCTTTACGTTCACAAAGTTCTTGAAAAGCATGACTTTGGCAATTGAGTGAATAAAGGTTCAAGGAACATTATACCACTCACATTTTATGTGCCAGAACCACTAAGTTCACTCGGTAGCTCTTACAGTGAAAATCATCAAAAGAAGAGATTATTAACTGGCATGATATAACAGCAGTTCAAAATGGCACATTATTCATCGTTCATCCATTTAGACGGCGCCACTGATATATAGACTTCATCTTTACAAGAAATGCAAGGAGCAACGCAACAGTAACAAACTGGGAGCAAGCTTTAAAATTACATAAGCAAACAAAACAGCTTCATTGCCAAAGAAAGAATCAGGAAGCTGCAATTAGCATTGTATTTTCATATTGGCAGAAACCCAGTCAGTGTAAAATTTAAGTAAAGCCCCTAATAACATGGAAAACTCTCTCAACACAAAATGAGGTTTTTGATCAAGGACTCACGTTCCATCATTTTCTCTTGCTTTTAGTTTACCAGTCTCAACGGCATCCTCTCTCCTCATAGAAGGAAACTGAAGGGCACATAGCTGCGTAGCCCAAACCCTTGGCAGGCTAAAGCTGCTGCTGCAGAGGGGCAGTGAATACTTTATTCCCAGGGACCTTCAAAGTGTTTCCTATTTCAGTGGTAACTTAGTCATCACCAGCCCTTTTAGCTACAGGTTAACTGAAGGTAAGAATCAAAAATTTCTGACTTTTCTGAATTGTCTTCAACAGAGTACAACACAGCGCAACAAACACCAAAACGGTAGGATATTAACTTGTGTACAAGAGCTATTTTAAAGCTCAAAGTCTCTGAAAGGTGGATTTGCGGCAACGAGAAGCAATCCTTAGGGCAGCTCACCTTCCCGCAGCACCTACAAAGGAATTTCCACATGAAAGCCACCTTGGAGCACGAGCAGAAGACTATAAGTCACTCAAAGTCAAAAATAACCTCTCATTTCGCTACTACAGTGCGTGCACTTCGTCCGCCTGTGAAATTCAGGTAGCTCTGGTGGGAAAGCCCAGCCGCGCGCCAGCAGCATCCCACAGCAGGACGCAGCAGCCCCAGACAGCAACGACGCAACCGAGCCCAGCAAACCCCCAGAGAACTGCAAAGTCCGAATGTCCCCTTTTCCCCTACTTCCCGAGGGATCCGATTTCCAAAATATCCCGTTTGCACATATAAAAACCCTCCACTGTTGCTCATAGCCTGAGGAGATGAAAACAGCACAGTCCTGTAGCCGTACGCTTAGGCTTTACCAGCCCTGGCAGGAGCAGGGCTAGGAGGCGAGGACCACCCCAGCCCAAGCCTCCAGCTTTGCTGCAAGGAAAGAAAAATTCTGATACTGCTCATAAGAAAACTTCTCCCTTTCAAGGCTTTCTGTTTATTTAAAGCAAAT